GTATATTCTGAAGCATTAGTGTGATTAAAGGTTTGAGTCTATAGGTCCATCAGAAGAAGAAAAAGTGTCTTGGTAGGGCTGAGCTAGCAGGGTGAAATGAGAAGGCCTTTGTCTTTTACTGGCTGGTCCTGGTCAGCTGTACTTCACTTTCTAAATAAAATGGAGAGATATTCAAGTGTTGTATTGGGAAGAACATGAATATTTCAGTGAAACACCAAAATTCAAATATGGCCCTTGCCACTTCCCAGAGGGAATGTGGGCACCTACCTTACTGTGTCCAAGCTGCTTCCTCATTTTACAGAGTGGGCACAGTGCTGCACACCTGTGGGTTGTCAGGAGAGCTTTCACAACCACACAGCTGAGGGCCTGGCCCACTCTCCTGCCCAAGTCCATCTGACAGAGACTCGTCCTCCATATGGGTGTCAGATTGACCATTCTGCAGCTTTTCACTTAAAAGTGATTTTTTTTTAGGGCCTCCCTGGAGGCAAAAGGGATTAAGCACAACATTATGAAGCTGTCTGCAACCTCTGCAGCATGAGTTCAGTCCCCGGCCAGGGAGCTACCCACATGGCGGAGCAGACCTCTCCTGACTCGCCTACTGCTCCCTTCAGCAGTGTATTTCAGTTGGTCTGCCTGTTCTGTTCCCCACTTTGTCTCTGGTCAATCCTCTCACCCCCTGCACTTCTGGCCTGTACCCCAGCTCTTGTATGCATAAATAAATAAATCTTTTTTTAAAAAGGTGATTTTTTTTTAAACTTTTGTAATGTTACTTAAAAAGCACAAAATAGAGGGCCTCCCCGGTGGCACAGCGGTTGAGCGCTGGGTTGGGAAGCTGCCCGCAGCCTTTGCAGCGCCGTTTCAATCCCCGGCTGCTCCCCGGCCACCGGAGGAGGGTCCCACATGGCGCGCAGACCTCTCCTGCCGCCCGCTGCTCCCCTCAGCAGTGTGCTTTGGTCCTTCTGCCTGCTCTGCTCCCCGCTCTGGCTCTCGTAGGTTCTCTCGCCCTCCCGCGCTTGTGACTGTGCCCAGGGCTTGTATAAATAAATAAATAAATAAATAAATAAATAAATAAATAAATAAAATACACAAAATAGAAAGTAATAATGGCAAGAGTGAATGTTTCTTTTCCCACTGTCTGTGCACTTGCTAGCATATGGTGTGTGCTTGTTTCCATAGATTGCCATATACTATGTGCACTATGCTCTAACTTGCTGTTTCCTTTACATATTGTACATATCTTCCTATATTAGTACAAAAACTCTGCACTTTTTTAAGTGGCATTATTGTACTTTTATGCCATAATTTGTTCAATCAATGTACAATGTACATTTTATGTTATAGAAATAACCTTGCCAGTTAGAAATGCAACAAACGTCCTTGTACAAATATTTTGACATATTTATAGAATTGTAGTTACCAAGTTAGGAGTAAGATGCATTTAAATGTTTTCATTAGAAAAAAAAAAATTCCAGGGCCTCCCCAGTGGCGCAGCGGTTGAGCGCCGGGTTGCGAGGCTGCCCCAGCGCCGGTTCGATCCCCGGCTGCTCCCCGGCCACCAGAGGAGGGTCCCACATGGCGCCCAGACCTCTCTGCCACCCGCTGCTCCCCTCAGCAGTGTACTTCGGTCCTTCTGCCTGCTCTGCTCCCCGCTCTGGCTCTGGTGAGTTCTCTCGCCCTCCCGCGCTTCTGACTGTACCCAGTGCTTGTATAAATAAATAAATAAATATTTAAAAAAATAAAATCTTAAAAAAAAATTCTGTAGATATTATCTGTTTTCTTTTCAAAAAAGATTTTATCAATTTACAATCCTCCGTGGCATGTATGAAAGTACCTGTTTCCTTGCAACCGGTTGGTACTTGATTTGTACTTAGTTCTTGCTTCCTTTAGCTCCATCTCTCACACACTCCCTCCGCTTGCTTCTTTCCTCTCCTGGACACACTCTGCTGGGCTCCTGCCAGCAACCTTTGCATACTGTAGGACACTCTCTTTGGTGTGATAAGAATTCTGTTGGTGTTTGAGGGAAGGGTTTGCCTGGTTAGCATATTGTCAGTAGCATCTACCCCATGCTGGGAACACTGGAGGCTCTCAGGAAATGTTTACTGGGAGAACTAAGTCAATGGTATCGATGTCCCCACAGTGCTCAGACTATATACCCTCTCTACTGTTCTTTCCCTCTTTAAAATTTTATAACCATATAAAGCTGTAGTTAAAATTAAAACTTTTTTATTTAGAAAGTTAATCAGAATTTAATATATTTCCAGTTCCTGAAATGCTTATCCCCAGAAAAATACAAGAGGTAGAGAAAAAAATTTTTAGACTTTTCTGAACTGTGGGACTGTTTCTCCTGCCCAATATTTACTTATAGAACATGTAGATTTTACTCCAGTATGGGGTGGGGAGGAAGAGAGGAATTCTATAAGAACCTCCATTCTTGGACAAAGAGATTTTAGATTAAAGCATTTCATTCATCAAGCATTGATCAAAGCAGCCAAGCCGTGCATTCTTCTCCCCGGGTGTCACTATCATGCCGCTTTTTGGCCAGATCTCCCCTTCTCCAGCCTCACCCACTGGAATCCATCCCTTTCTGAACGTCTTGCATGAACTCTCTGCCAAGCAAGTCACAGCATTTGCTACTTGTGCTTTGATGGCTCCACAGCCCTCAGATTCAGGTCCAGATGGCTCCAAGTAGCCTTGCAGGACCGTGGTGATCTGGCCTTTTTTTCTCTCTCCAACTGCTTTCCCCCACTATTGGCGAAACTAAATCTCATATGACTTTGGAAGGCACCTCTGCCTCTCTCACACACTGTTTCTCTTCACCAACCCCAAATTTCTCCATCCTTCTGGGTTAAAACTCTCCTTGCATTGGGTCTCTCCCTAAGGGTACGCTCTTTGTAAGCTTTCTGAAGGTAGGCGCTCTGCCTGTCCTGACACAGACCCTTGTCCACAGTGATGTTCAGGAAATGTTGTGTGAAAGATGGGCATTACTGGTGTATTATAATAGCGATAAGAAACAGTAGGTTGTAACAAATACCTGCCTTTATACAGAGCCTGTGATTCTTTGTGCTTACACCCCGCTAGTCAAGCTGAGAAGTTCACCATGTCTGAACACATGTTTGAGCTCCTTGCCTCTACTGTCTGTCTTTGGCAAAAGAGTCCATGGTGGAGGCCATCTCCTCCTTGAAGCTCTTCTTGTCTTCTGCGACCCTGCTAGTGGATAGGACTTTTTTTTTTTTTTTTTTTTTTTTTTTTTGCCATTTTGCTTATGGCCCTTATCTCATTGTAACTTGTAGTACAATAGAGATAACAGACATATTCCTCATACTTCTCCCCCAAATGGTGAATTATGCGCTACTTCAAAACTGGTTCTAGCTGATCTTGCTATATCTCCTATAAGGCTCTCCACTTTCTTGTACAAAGGTATTTTGTAAATGTTGGTTTGAATTGTCTATAAATAAATTAACCTTTACCTGTTCCTTCAGATGTCAGTAAAATGGAGCAGCATCATTGTGAGGGACTCCTTAGATGCTGTATTATTATGCAAAGCATTATTGAATTCTCATGCTATTGTCCTGTCATAGCAGTTCAGGGTGCCACGCCAAACAAAACAGACCTGCCCACAACCTCCTGAAGGCCTGTCACCCTCATCGCAGCTCAGAGCAGCATGGCTTGGCCAGGCTATTGAGCTCATAGTGTAACATGGGGCTGCTGATCGTACTGTGTGGGTCTTAGTGAATAGTGTGTTGTTGCAGCTAGTGCAGAACTGGCCTTCCAGAGCCTCTTCTAGCATGCTTGTAATGGCCACTGCCCTGAAAATGATTACAAAGCATGAATCAGTGGTCAGGTGGAGAAACTTCATTTGATTTAAATTCTTTTTTAGGCTTGTTAATTTTCCTTTATTTAATGAAAATCCTAGACATCATTGTGTTGAAATACAAATCTTCACCCATAAAAACTCATTGGATAGACATTAAATATTAGATGATGGAACAAACAAGCAGTAATTTGCTGGAGCTGTGGAATAAACCCTAAATTCTATGTTTTTAAACGTATGAAATGTTTACCTTTATGATTTTATTGTTTGCATTTTAAGTTTGTTTTTTAAGGCCAAAACAAATAGTGTTTCAATAATTTTTTTAATCAGACAAGCCAGGGAACCAAGTAAATATTGTTTCCTGCCAATTTGTTTTCTGTTTTAAAATCATGCAGGCTTCTGAGAGCAGGAATCTCAGCCTTCTGCCTAAGTTACAGAAAGGGCTCTGGGTGCTGCCAGTTTTACTCATTCCTTGTGGATAAGCATGGTGAATCTCCATGCTGTAGATAATGACAGAGTTCTATGTCTGCAATATCTGTTTTGAAGTCCACTAGTGATAAAGGGATGCAGGTCAGCTCTGGACCCACTCTGAGGAGATGGTAACTCCACTGTGAATATATATAGCATGAAACAGTGCAGACTCTTCTTTAATCTTTCCCCTTTTCAATCACTTTCACTTAGGATTTAGCTTCTGTCTCATCACTTTAACCTGAGTTTGTATACTTGCCAGAAGACTGGTCCATTTGTTTTTCCACAGGAATTACAGACATGATAATTTTGAAACAGTGCCTCCCTGTCTGGTTGACACAATATAGTATGATCTGGTTCCATAGGAATTAAGCTTACGAGAATCGTATATACAGACGTAGTGTTGTCATGGCTAATAAAAATGTATAAATTATTTTCTCCAAAGTTTGTTACTTTTATTCCAGTCTCTTGAAATGTGGTCACTTAAAGGCAGGGGCTCAAAGTCTGTTTCTTTCGTAATGGTCTTATACCACTGAAATGTCTTTGTATTTTTGGTATGTTGCTTAAGTTTAGAACTTGGTCAAACTGAGTTTATCAACTGAGAGCCTCTTTATCTTATATATTGGAAATACTATTAAGTGAAATATAAATTTGAAATACTATTAAGTTTTGCTTGTATAATTTCAATAAGAATGTATGTTCATTCTGTTTTTCTTTTCAGGAATCTGAGGATTGTAACCAGCTCTCTGGAGTATTGTATGACACTACATCATGAGTGACAGTAAATGTGATAGTCAGTTTTACTGTGTGCAAGTGGCAGACTCAACTTTCACTGTCTTAAAACGTTACCAACAGTTGAAACCAATTGGCTCTGGGGCCCAAGGAATTGTTTGGTAAGTATGGTCTGTTTCAATAGTTTGAACTGAGTTTCCTTTGTAATTAAAAGTAATCAGAATTTAGAAGCTTGATAAAAATATTCTTCTTTACAATAGGTTTATGAGCTAAACTGAATCAACCTCTTGCTTTAGTTATATGTAGTCAGATTATAGTTACAAGCCCAAAATTCAAATAGGTAGTGTTTTTTTTTTTTACTTTTCTTTGTTTTTTCTTCATTTTTCTTTTCCATTCCCCCTGCCCTCCCCCCTCCCCGTCATTATGATAGCAGAGTGATAATAAGTATGACAGTGAGTTGTAACAGAAATTTGGAGTTTTATTCATTTCTTCATCCTGGCCACCTTTCCCCCTCCCCCTTTTACTCCCAATCACTCCTATTCATTTCTAGGCGCCGTCATTGCAGTGTCTTGCCCTTCATTGGCAGGATGAGGCCAGTCAGTGTCATTATCACCCCATGGATTAACCAGGAAGGGATGCTGTGTGAGGGGTTGGGCTGGCCGTCTCTTCCTTGGTGTCTCACTTCAACCATGTGTCCAGCCCAGGACGTCAGAACCGTTGGTCTGACCCTGAACCTTAGTCTCTTGCATGGTAAGACAGTCAGCTGCCGCGACATCACTGGCCAGCTCAAGGTAAAGTTTTTCACATGTTTTCTAGATTATAGTTATCAGCACTTCCCAAACTTTTTATCCCTTATTTTTCTGGGCAGAACTTTTTTCTTTATCTTTTTTATTTTTTGGATTAATAAAAACAAGATTGTCATTGCATCTAAAAGAAACTGGTGAAGCTAATTATCCAATGTTTACAGCTTATAGGCAGAGGAGACCTCAGATAAAGGAGAACTCTTTTGGATGTTCTGGTTGGGAAGTTGTTTTCGTTAGAGATGTGACTTTAGGGAATCTTTGCCAATAGTTTGTAACTGATTCTCTGTTGTAGAGACGTGACATCAGGGAAGTGAGTTGTTTTCTTGGCTTAGGTGGTTTGGAGGCCTTAGTTGTGAAGAGGAAATTACACTTTAGAGTTTCCCAGGAAAGCTAATGAGAAAGAAACAACTGTTTGGAAGGAGTGTCTTGTGTCTAAAACACAGTGAACTCAACTTCCAAATGATAGCACACTACACTGGTACTTCAATTCAGTGATCCAAGAGAAGTTTTAAAGTCAATGAGTGGTTCAAATAGGAAATTTTGATGCTAATAAAAAGTCCTACTTTTTTTTTTTTGTGGGAATTGGATGCTAATTAGATAATTTGGCAAGACTGAGATCAAGGATGTATAATGTAATAAACACATAAAGGGGCCTACTTGAAGTAATAATTGCAAAACAAAAGACTTTGTAAGAGGTAGGCAGTTAAAATCAGTGGTTTCATTACAGGGTGGTAAATAAGAGTGTTTTGCAGAGATTAGATTTGGTTTTGCAGAGATTAGATTTGGTTTCCAGTTTGCATATACTACTCTTCATTCTGTTTTTTAAAGAAATGTTTGACAGTGAATTTATTCATTATATGTATTTTTCATTTAAAAATTCCAGATTTGGAAAAAAATTTCTAATATATGCCTATAAGCTAAACTACCTCTGGCAAAAGTTGTGGTAAAATTGTAAGATGTAAATTTCAGAATTTAAAAAAAATTTTAAAAACCAAGAGTTTAGAAACAAGCCCATATATCTATCGTCAGCTGATTTTTGAAAAGGGTACCAAGATTATTCAATAGGGAAAGAATAGTCTCTTCAACAGGTGGTGCTAAGACAATAGCCACATGAAAAAGAATGAACTTGGACTCCTACCTCAAGTAATGTAAAAAATTAATTCAGAATGGAAAAATTACTCAAATATGAGAACTAAAACCACAGAAAGTGGGCCTCCCTGGTGGCACAGGCAGTTGTTGGGCACAGCGCTGTGAAGCTGTCGGCAGCCTCTGCAGTGCCAGTTTGATCCCCGCTGGCCTTGGAGCAACCCACGTGGCGAGCAGACCTCTCCTGTCTCACCTGCTGCTCCCCTCAGCAGTATATTTTGTCAGTCTGCCTGTTCTGTTCCCCGCTCTGTGTCTGGTGAATCCTCTCATCCTCCCGCGCCTCTGGCCTGTACCCCGGTTCTTGTATAAATAAAATAAATCTTAAAAAAAAATACATAAAGCTCTTAGAATAAAACATAGGGGTAAATTTATTCATGACATTGGATTCTTAGAAATAACACCAGAAGCATGAACACAAAAGAATAGATAAGTTGGACTTCATCAAAATTAAAAACCTTTGTTTGCCAAGGACACTATCAAGAGAATGAAAAAACAACCCACAAAATATGAAAAGATTTGCATATCTGTTAAGAGTTCAGTATCCAGAGTATGTAAAGAATGCTTATAACTCACAGCAAAAAGACAGTTTTTCAAAAAGACGGTTTTTAAAAAAGGCTTGAATAGATATTTCCCCAAAGAAGTATACATGTGGACAATGCATGCATGAAAGATGCTCAGTGCTAATCATTTGGGAAATGCAAATCAAAACCACAATAAGTTATCCCTTCACACCCACTGGGATAACCATAATCAACAAAATGGAAAATAGCAAATGTTGGCAAGGATGTGAAAAAATAGAATTCTTACATGCTTCTGGTGAGAACTTAAAATGGTGTAGCCATTGGGAAACAGTTTGATGATTCCGCAACAAGTTAAACATAAAGTTACTGTATGATCCAGTGACTACACTTAAGTATAACCCCAAAGAATTAAGAACAGTTGTCAAAACACAGCCTTGTAAGTAAATGTACTGCTTATAGTAGCTGAAGATAAAACAGCCCAAATATCCATTAGCACATGAATGGATACACAAATTGTACTGTATTCGTACCTGTAATATTATTCGCTGTTAAAGAATGAAGCACTGATATGTACTTTAACATGGATGATACTCAAAAACATGCTAAGTGAAAAAAGCCATTCACAAATGGTCAAATATTATATGATTCCATTTATATAAAATATCCCAAGTATGTAAATCCATAGAGACAGATGAAGATCGCAGGTAAACTGGATCAAGGAAAAGGAGGGTAAGGAGAGCAGCTGTTTAATGGATATGGATTTCCTTCTGGGGTGGTAAAAATCTTTGGGAATTATATAGATATGTTGACTACACAACACTGTGAATGTACTAAATGCTCTAAATAGTTCACTGTTAAGTGGTTAACTTTTTGTTGTGTGAAACTCACCTCAATAAAAAATATTTTGAAAAAGAACATTGCAAAATGCCTTAAGCTAAGGATATTTGTCATTTTTGTTGAATATTTAATTCCTGTATTGTAAATACTATAAAAATGCGGTATTTTCATGTAGTACATAGAGTGTGCTGTAATTTTCTCATAGTAGCTTGAGCATAACGGAACCTGAACTGTAATTTCACTAACTCTTACTATTTTTCTTTAAATGATTTTATGACAATAATATTATTTGTAGGAGTCGCTTTTATTTCACTTATAGAAAGGTATGAAGAAAAAATTGGGTAAAGGCTAACGTGATTCTAAATATCATTTCTTACAAATCCCCATTTTCATTGTCTGAGTTTTGAGTCTAAGGAAAGATCAAAACTGTAGTTTGCTTTTTTCTGCTTAAGAAAGATGTGATTAGCTTGAACTTGTTAAGGCAGCTCTTAATGAATCCACACCACATAGCTGATAGTTTATTTCATGACATTTATTGTCCTTTAGTTCTCTTACCTTTGTAACCCAAGCCAGTCATCGATTAACAAATAAAAATTGGGTCAGTTTTACTGGCTGCAAGTCAAAGAGTTGAGCCTAGATGGTTGGAGAGCTGTTTTGCATTATTTATTGCTACTTTCTCACGGAATTGGCTTCTTAGCTGGGGAGATGGATTACTGCTTCCTGCTTTCCTTCTGAACTTGAGGCTTTGTGGGCCCACTGAGTTACAGGGATGGTTATGCTGTGATAGTTCTGAAATTTACAGGAAAGAAACTTTTCCCAAGATAATTCCCCCGAATGTCTTCTGACAATTTTTTCCTGACTCTATTTTGCACAGCATCTTGGATATTGACATTATGCTAAGATCCTTACTAGAAAAGTATTCTGTACATAGGCACAAAGAGAAGTCTTTTAACTCATCTTGCTGTTTGGTTAGAGGAAGAAATTTATTAAGGGTACCTACCAATCAGACCCCTTTCTTCCCCAGCAGTATTGAAGAACCTAAGCATCCCCATTATCGAGCAGTGATTTCCATATCTGTTCTCTCCAGTGGTCCTCTTCCATCACCAGCTGTATCTCCTGGTTGGATTCTCTCCTGAAACCCCCCAGTATGTCCAGACAGTGTCTGTGGTCTTTAAAGTCTTATATTGTTTATGAAACCTCCCCACCCAGATAATCTCTAAATATGCTTGGAGTAGAGCCTTCTCTCTTTTTAAATCCTGATTGATATACATATATACCCACACTCCAGAAATGTAAAATGATAAATTTGTGTTTCAAACCAATAAATTTGTGGTAATTTGGTATAGCAACTATAGTAAACTACTACAAGGGGCATGTGTGTGTTTACATTTTTGATATATGAAATGCCCTAGTAGCAATAATGCGTTGTTTATAAAACCAATTAATCATCTATTTAAACTAAAGCTTTATAAAGACACAGGGATAGATGTGCAGGTAAATGAAAGTGCAGGTAGAACCAGTGACTCTTACAGGATTAAATGGAAGAGCTGGGATTGGAATAAAATATTCTTCCTCGCAATTATTTTTACAATTATCTTTGATTTATTTGTTTCTGTTTGTGTTATTCATTAAAAATGTCAGTAAAATTTATTAGGAAGTAACTTTTTTGAACTGTTTTATCATTTTGAAGTACTCATAAGTATTGACTAAGTTATATAGTAAAATTAAGTAATTCAAGATTTTGAAGCTCTAATGAGAAAAATGTGCATACATTTCTTTCATATATCTTTATTATGTATGAATATATATCATATATATGAATGTATGTCATCTATATATTTAGGTTTTTTCTTT